GGCTAGAGGCTTTGTTTATATTTGCTTTGCAGGACTTTCGTTTCACTGTTTAGCAGTAAACCTCTACTCTGAAAAAAATCCAAGTCATTACAGAAGAATGGTGTAGAAGGGCGTGCATAGCCCCGGGCACTGAGAGCCAGCACACAGTGTCACAGGGACATGCCAACTCGGCACAGCCGGTGGCTGTCAGGACTCCACTGATTTTCAGGACTTGTCCTAGATGCGGGATTGCTCACTTTGCCTCTCTGGGCCTCACCTTAATCACCCTAAAGTAGGATTACTTACTACATGGGGCTGTTGCTATGAAAACTGTCCCCTGCAAAGCAACACAGAAATGCAAGGAATTATGATGATGCCACGGGAGCTACCCTGATGGTCCTGTGCACATCTCTGCGTTTGAAGAGTGAACAAACAAAATAATGCAGCACATCCCTTCCCGGCCCCCACCCCACAAATTTTCAACCATGTTCTATTATCCAGACACAATGCTGGAAGCCACTTGTTTAAACGATACATTGGACGGTTGCTCCCTTTTCTTAGGACATGTAAAGCCCTGAGCACTACTGAGAAAGAGAAATGAAGAGGGGTCTCTTCACCCCAGGGAGAAAAGCCCCGAAGTTCTTAAAGGACTTGAACTTCAGAGAAAAGGTGTGGGCTGCGTCTTCCTTCATGGGAGAGGAGATATGTGGACATTGGGGACCCCGTGTTTTTACCAATATGTTTTCCATGGATGTTCAGTTTTGTGCACTGTTTGGGGGCAGAGGCTGGGGGGCGGGGTGGGGAGAGTTCTGTGCCAAATAGTTCACAAACTCTGGAAGAGATGTTCTCCTGGGGTCCTTCTACATAAGAAAAAACAGGAATCCAAGGTTAGCATTTATATGGGATTGGAATGTAAAAGAAAAAGAATGCACCTTTCCAAATGGGTTATTCCAGAAGCTGTATTGCAAGCAAATAGGACGTATTTGGAGAATAAAAGGAAGGATATATTTGTCTTAAAATCTGTGAAGTCCTGACAGTGTAAGTACTTTGAAAGAAGGACCTGTGCTTGTAACTTAAGTGCTAAGGGTAGAATCCAAATTTCTGGCAGAGGACAGACCTGGCCTTCTTGCTGCCTTTGTTGATTTAAGAGGGAAGCAGATACTGGAAGCCCAGACCATGAGAAGCCATGTCCATTCCCTGAGGGTCTGCCCTAACACTGGGAGCAGGAAGGATCAGCGTTTCCTTAATAGTTGTTGATTTAAATTAAAACAGTCAGTGCCATTACTATGACAGGTAATCTTTCATACAAGTCTCCACTTTCTCCATGGGAAACAATGTTTGGTTGGAAAATATGCATGGCATTTGGAGTCAGATGGCCACCTATTTGGGGCTCAAGTTCTCTCCTTATTGCAAGTCTAGAAAACAAGATGTAGGTCATTTTTCCACCCTTGTCTTCAGTTCTGTCACCTGAACTGGGATTATCTCCTCCCTCAGCAGTGGGGTGGGGATCCAAAGAGAGTCCCTTTGTTACCTTGGTTTGAGAAAGTAGTTAAAGCTCTCTATAGCATGAGATGCAAGCTCTCTAATTCTCTCTCTCTCTCTCTTTTTTTTTTTTTTTAAGATTTATTTACTTATTTTAGAGAGAGAATGAGAGCCTAACATGGAGGGGGGTGGGGTCAGAGGGAGGGAGAGAGAGTTGCAACGCAGACTTCCCACAGAGCATGGAGCCCCACACAGGGCTTGATCTCAAGACCCTGAGATCATGATCTGAGCTGAAATTGAGAGTCAGGCGCATAACCCACTGAGCCACTCAGGCACCCCGCAAACTCTCCGATTTTAATCCTTACAACGACTGAGGTAGCGTGGACAAGCCCATTTTATAGAAGGAAACCAGAAGTGCTAGCTCCCACAAGGACTCCAAGCCATTGCCAGAGTTAAACCTCTGTCTCCAGCTATCTTGCCACTGCCGCACAGTATGCCCCTTCACTCTCTGGCCACAAATGTTTTAGGATAAGCTTCCCACCTGGTTCCAGTCTCATGGCGCTCCCATCCTCCTTCCACTCCAAAGACAACTTTCTAATCTGTTGAGCTCACCTCCCTGCTGAAAATCCCCATTGAGATTTCTGTTGCCTGGGCGTTCTTCCCTGAGGGTCTTGAGATATGTCCCTGTAGCCCATGAGCTTTCTGAAAATGTAGGTAAATTTGATGTGCATTTTTATGAATGCCAGTCTCTGCCAAAAGGGAGTTGAGCACATCAGATTTTCAGAGTTTCCTGTGGTCTCACACAGGGCCTAGAGTCCCTGGCCCATAGAGAAGACCTAAGCCCCCGATGGCACGGCAGTCACGAGCTGGCCCTTCCTTTCTCTCACCTCTTCAGCTTTAAACAGAACCACTTGCATTTTTCCCCACTTCCACCCAACTGTGTCCCACCTTTGGCCTTTTGCTCCTCTTAGAGCTCGGCCTTGACCTGGATTAGCCCATTCCAGGGCTTTGCTAGTACCCAGACTACCTTTGTCACTTGAATTAATTGCATTTGAAAAGTTATATTTCATGGATTGCAGAAGTCAAATTAAATACTGTAAAAGAAACACAAACTTAGAAATTAAAAGGCTCTCAGGATTCCAAACCCAACAAAGCCTCCCTTTAATATAGGAGTACATGTCCTTTCAGACTTTCTTCCCTACCTGTATATTGAATGATAGATAATTAAACGCTACTTATTTTTCAAAAATGGGGCCATCATTTAGATTTCCTATCCTATCACTGCATCTGTTCCTTTGATAGCATGGCTATGCCATCTTTTTCCTAATTATAGTGGTAAACTTACAGTGTTCTCTTAAAACCTGTTCACATTCCATTGTGTGTATCTATCATTGTCCATTTAAGTGACCTCTTACCCATGGACAGATAGTTACACTGTTACTTTCTGTTCCTTTTTTTTTTTCCAAAGAAAGTTCCTGTGACTGGCCTTGGTGGTATAATTTTATGATTTCAGCAAAATTTTCCTAGAAGCAGATAACATCTGTGCCATTGAAAGTTTAATATTACTAGCAAACCACTCATCCAATGTTCAAATGTTATTTGTACTTTAGAGAAGGCCTTCCATGTAACATTTAATGTTTACTGAATAAGTGAGTCTGGGATGGGCCCCTATGCTGGGTTTATCATAACTAGCCTTGCCCTGATCTTTTTGGGTGTCAGATTTCCTTATCTCACAATGAATAAGAGATTCTGGCATACAGCTCTACTTTTAGTCTTTGTCACTGGCCACATGTCATAGTTTGCTCACTGCTGTCCATTCTCCAATCCAAATTGTCCAACAATGAAATAAAATCCCAGGGTTAGATGAGTAACCAACATAAAAAATTCTTAGCCTTTTTGGCTGTCTGTATGTCTGTATTCCAACTTTCTATCCATTTTTAAAAAAAAACCTAAAAAATTGGAAAATAACCAGAGAAGAGTCCCAAGTAAGTGCCAATTAACAACTTCACATATGTTTAGAAGGCATTTTATGCCTCAGACATCACACAAATAATTAGTATGTATTTTGGACTCATTGAAATAAGTGTTCATAGTAAGGAAGAAACATTTGTACAGGGATTTATACCTTACAGGATTTTCACATCCAAGAACACATTTGCTATAGTGAGGATAACGGTGAATGAATGCACAGCTTCAGGTTCTGTTGAACTGATTCTTGTAAACTCTTAATGAAAGGAGAGACTCTTAAGAATGCATAAACATCAAGGGAAGAACATTCTCAGAGTCTCAGCTCTCCCCATCAGCTATTTCTTAATTTTTCGTTAAGTTTTTGTTACAAACGCTTTGATTAAAGATGCTGGGGTGTGATTTTGGATATGGCCAAAGTTATAATATAGGCAAAGGGAAATAGAATTTTATTTTCTTTTTTTTAAGATGTTATTTATTTATTTGACAGATAGAGATCACAAGTAGGCAGAGAGGCAGGCAGAAAGAGAGAGGTAGAGAAGCAGGCTCCCTGCTGAGCAGAGAGCCCGATGCGGGGCTCGATCCCAGGACCCTGAGATCATGACCTGAGCTGAAGGCAGAGGCTTTAACCCACTGAGCCACCCAGGCACCTGGGAAATAGAATTTTAAATTTCCACTTGTTTACATACTGCAAAATCTTACGTCTGGCATCTGGCCTTCCTTCTTTCTCTACCTACTTTGGATTGTTGGTTGAACATCTCAAGTAATCTTTCCCCTGACACTTGATATCGTGACGTGGCTCTAATTCTTGGTCATCCACCTCTTTAAACACCAACCCAGGATCAGTGCTACTGATGTACCCTCCCCATTTGGTACGTGGCTGTTTGTAGTACTAAGAGGAGAAACTTCTCAACCTCCTTAAATGCAACACAGGGTCATTCACTTTCTGCACCCCTGTTCCCCATTAGACCCATCTCATCTCCTCTCTCAAGCTTTATATGTGGTGCAGAAATATTCCACTGTGAGGAGCTCCTATGCCACTTGGCCTTTTTCTCACCTAAATGTGAAAAACTTCTACCTGTTAAGTTTCTTGCCCATTAGCTGAGTATGTCCTACTCTGTACTGGCCTCTCCTCTGGAATTCTTCTTTTCAGGCTACAGGAGAGGTCCCTTTATGTACCCTAGTTGTGCACGTTCTGTAATTGCTTTATCTTTAATTATTGATGAACATGAATTTCTCCCTTGACCATAAACTCCATAAGTGGGAGGGGGGCCTCTGTGTATATTGTTTTTATAAATATACGACTGGTATACAGTGACTACTTAGCAACTGTTGAATGAAATGAAGCCCTACTGTTGTAAACATGGATTTCCAAAGCCCAGTGGATAACTCATCTGGAGAAGACAAGTGGCTCCTGTAAAATGGTGTGTCTCGGGTCAGACACTAAAGAACCGATGAAACGGATTGTTAAACCCAAATCTCTTAATAGCCACGTCCCGTACTTTTTTTGTCTACAGTGCAAATACTGATTGTCTTGATGGTATGTAAAGAACTATGTGTCCTCTGCCTTTTAGGGTGGACAAACGGGTTCCATGGGGCCTCCAGCTGCTTCCCCATCGTTCCGTCCTGAAGATGAACTCGAACACCTGACCAAGAAGATGCTGTATGACATGGAAAATCCGCCTGCTGATGAATACTTTGGTGAGTGGAGGCTAGAGTTGACTCCTGAAGGAAAGGCCTTCTGGTCTTCTTAATTATTAATTAGGAGTACTATCAGTTCCACAGGTAAAGGATTCGAGTATGGATGCATTGGAGTTGGTGTGCTTCCGCACACGACGGAGTGTTCTAGAAATAGTTTTGTGAGACTGCTGTAAATGGGATATCTGTTTAGCTCATACTGAAAGTGCAAGGATACTACTGTGCAGTTTCTTGAGATACAAATTTGATTTTAAAATGAATTTTTGACAACTTCTAAGCTTCTCCTTAGGCAGAAATAGGGTTTCTGTATGTGTTCAGGTTCCTCACTCGTCTAAATATTTATATACAAAATGTGGAAGTGGATAGTGTCTAAAATCTGCACTCTCAATTATTTCCCTATGCGAGTTTAGGAAAAGATGTTCCTGTTGTGTTTTTGGTTTTTTTTTTCAACCTTCTCCCTTCTCCAAATCTGTGAATAATTATGAACGGTTATTCCATCCAGTCCATGAGGATAATGTGGATTGATGAACTATATGCAATTTCCATGGTGCTACGGACACATAACCTGCCCTCAGGGAGGTTATAATTATTCAGAAGAGATAAGAAAAACACATGAGTAATTACTAATCTTGGTAGAAAGCTGTAAGAGGCATAAGAGAGGCTTATGTGAGATATTATAAAATTTAAAAGCTCTTCGCATCAGGAGCATCAGGAATGCCTTATAAAGAAACTGGTGGTACCTAAACCTGGACCTTTTATATTAGTGCCTCCCAAATTTCCTATGATGGAAACTATTTCCTCCTCAACCAGTTGGAGGCCAGTATTTGTATAGAGCACAATTAAAATTAATTACTAAGAAAGTGAAATAAAGAGAATACAAAATGGAAGGCCACGTTTTACCACTATGAGATTGAATAAGAATCAATTACCCTATTAAAGTGTTACATTCCTTCCTAAATACTCCCTGTTTTTGTACTCTGTCTCAATGGAGGGTGACAAACATTTCTTAGATCCCCACCCAGGGACCATAGTTTGAGTAGTATCACTTTAAGAACATGTAGGGAAAGGAGGTTTCGTTTGTGGGGGGAGCAGAAGCAAAGGCACAGAGGCGGAAACATTACACCGGTTTTCACTTCTTCAGACATTTACTATTTTCATGTCTTCCCCTTGCTCCCTATTTGGGAATGTGTAATAACAGGTGAACTGAGGGCACTGGTCCAAAGCCACACCATAAATGGAATGGTGTAGGATATGAAAAACATGGCACTGATTTGTATATAGGTGTAAGTCAATGATGGAAATAAAGAATTCTGGTTCTGGCCCTTCCTGTGCCTTTGATTGGCTAAGCAATAGTGAAATTTTCCCCATCTGCTTGAGCCTCATTTCCCACCTTAGTAAATCAGAAGTGTGGAGCAAATGTTTTCTAGAATTTCTTTCAACACTAGTAAGTTTCCGTAGGAACAGCATTACTCCAATAAAACACAACAAAGCTCAAAGCTAAACACAAATTGATAGGAGGAATGCATGGAGAATATTTTTTTTTAAAGTCTCTAGTTCTATTAAAATATACTAGAAGTGTACCATGCTCTTGTTATGGATGTAGGGGAAAGTTTTATATTGGAATCTTAGGTAAATTATTTAAAAGAGCATGTTAAAAGCAAAAAATAAGGTGACAGTACTAAAGCATATTAAAAATAAAAAGCAGGGCTCCTGGGTGGCTCAGTTGGTTAAGCAGCTGCCTTCGGCTCAAGTCATGATTCCAGGGTCCTGGGATCGAGTCCCGCATCGGGCTCCCTGCTCAACAGAGAGCCTGCTTCTTTCTCTCCCTCTGCCTGCCGCTCTGCTTACTTGTGCTATCTCTCTGTCAAATAAATAAATATAATCTTTAAGAAATAAGTAAGTAAGTAAATAAATAAATAAATAGCAAACTAATGTAACAAGTATATATGCCTCAAATATCATAGCAACTAAATGCATAGCAATAAGGAAAATTGAACATGGATAGTAATTGTGTTGATCAATATGTATTAAGCCTTCTGGGAAATAGATATAAATTAAATGTTATCTTTGCCTTTAAGAACTATCCTCGCTCTAATAGTTACTAGCTTAGACAACTTGAACAATTTGGTTACGCTCTCTCAATCTTTGTTTTTGTTTTTGCTTTATCTATAGTATGGAAATAACCACTAGTTCATACTGTTATTTTGAGTCTTGGGTGAAATATTTATAGAAAGCACTTAGCCAAGTTCTTGGCATATAGAATATCCTCAAAAATCAAAGTTATCCCATGCTTTATTTAAGAAAATAAGATATGCCTATTAGAAATCCATTAAAAATACCTGATTTAAACAGGTATTTTTAGAACATATGTCACCAGTTGGTAAATAATAATTGCCAAATAAGGATTATGAACCATGAGAGAGATTGTGGAATAATGATTAATGTTTATTCAGTACTTACAATGTGGCATCAGTATTCTATGTACTTTATAGGAATTAATCTATTTCATCCTTATAGAAAATGTATAATCCTATAAAGGCTATTATTATTTCCATATTAGGAAATTGAAGCACTGAAATGTTAGGTTATGTACCCAACATCAACAGCTAATAAATTGTAGGACTTGATTAGAATCCAGACTTCGTTCTATATTTTTTTCTTCTAAAAACTTTTTCTCCAGCTTTATTGAGATATACAAAAAACATACGCGTATAATCAGTGTCCATAACTTGGTGGGTTTAGAGATGTATATACATTTGTATTGCTGTCACCACAATCCAGGTAGTAAACATATCTGTCATCTCCAAAAGTTTAAGCTGGATAATTAGGAAACCTTTTGTGGAGGAGATCAGCTTTGGATACACAGAAAGTAGAAGAAGGTATTCTCTTTGGAGTAGATAGAATGAACAAAGTATGAATTGAGACCAGGATTATTTAAGGAAAATTTACTTTAGGTGGAAAATATCTAAGTGCCTATAATGTACAAAATTCTCTGCTAAGTGTTGGAGGCATTTGGCTAGACATGGATCTTACCTTGAAGATTCCTATAGTCTAATAGAGAATATATACAGAGCAATGATCTTTAATCCTAACACAAGACTGGGAGTGACAAGTGACTTAGTCAAATTTCAGCCAAAGTTCGTCGAGAATTCAGAAAAAGGAGAATAGACATTCCCAGGCAGGAATGGAAATATGTTTACGGAATGGTTAGCCTTTGAGTTAAGTCTTTAAAAGTACGCTAATAGAGATTTGGAAGAGGAATGATGGTAAGGAAGTGATGTCATTTCTGACAAGGGAAATTTTAACATGATACAGAAGAAAATCATTAAAGTGAATCACCAATGTGGGAAGGAACAAATTTTGGGAAATAAAATTGGAGAATAAGGTAGGAATCCTGATTGGATTCTGGTTGAAAAAAAAAAAAACCCTATTAAATATTTGGGGCAAGGTTAGAGAAATTTGAATATGAGCTATATATTTGATAACACATCAATGTTAATTTCTTGAGTATGGTATTGTGGTTATACATTGTGGTTATACAAAATGATATCCTTGTTTTTAGGAGCAATGTATTGAAGTACTTGAGGAGATGTGTCATGATATCTACAACTTACTTTGAAACAGTCTAGATAGATGATAGATCGATCGGTAGATCGACACATAAAGATACCGATACAGATATAGATATTGTGGGGAAGGCTGAATCACTTTAGATTAAAACAGCTAGCGATGCCACACCTGGGTGGCTCAGTAGGTTAAAGCCTCTGCCTTTGGCTCAGGTCATCATCTCAGAGTCCTGAGATCAAGCCCTGCATCAGGCTCTCTGCTCAGCGGGGAACCTGCTTCTCTTCCTCTCTCTCTCTGCCTGCCTCTCTGCCTACTTGTGATCTCTGTCTGTCAGATAAATAAATAAATCTTTAAAACAGCTAGAGATGCCATTACTACACAGCTACCCAGGACACCCTTCTTCCTCAAAAATGTATTGAAGCCTCACAAATGAATTATTTTAAGACTCCTTTCTTGGGTGGGAAAAGTAGAGTTAGATTCCTGTGCCTTCTAAACCAGAATCTTTTAATGATTACAATGGATCTTTGACATTTCCCTCTCTTGTGTGTGTTTCCTTGTTTTGTACTGGACACATACCTTTTCTACTGCTGATGAGATGATAGTCAGTAGGATGGTGATGATAGGAGCTGATACTGATCTAAAGCTCTATTCATAGTTTGAATGACAGGTCTGGTGATGATGTCTTCATTTTTTAGGTGAGGAAACAGATTCAGAGAGGCTGAATGACTTGTTCAAGGTTACATAGTTAATAAGCTTCAGCATGTGGACTCATTCTTCTCATCTCAAGTCTGTGCTGATGCATTACCCTTATAGAATGGCGTATGTTGTTCCTGCACCTGTCAATAGCTGACTATCCTGCCTCTTGTCATGCTTTCCTTCCCGATGTCATGACGTTCAAGTGAGAGACCCATCTGTGCCCAGGGCCATAAGCTGTGTAGCTGGAACGTCAGTGTCTCTGGCAATATATTTTAAGTATGTATAGAACCTAAATTAACTGATGGGGCACTGAGTGTGAGCTTTTTGCCATAGCTCAGATACATTAACACAGCATACCCAATACCTTCCTATCAACAGTGTTAGCTGACCAGCCCTTCTGTTGACCTTGCAGAAGGCAAATTGCTGATAATTACGCACATCTCATTTTCTTAAGTCTGTTCCCTATAAATATTACAAGCAGGAACCTTCAACTGAGTCTCAGCTGGCTTTTTTTTTTTTAATGGTTTCTTCTAAAATGGTGTTAGTTTTAGTGTTCTATACTCTCCCTCTTCCATCTTCATCAAAATCAGGGATTGTTGCATTGCAGTATTAGATAAATACCACAAGGAATGAACCCATAATGCAGCAGATGGATAAGTCCGTATCTTTAAAGGAAAGACAAAATTCTCTCGTGCTCTGAACATTTTCCATCTGTTTTGGCTTATGTGATTGGGCTATAG